AAGCGTTATTATTATTCTTATATTATTATTATTATTATAAAAGAATATTATATATTAACAATTACTACTAAGAATAATACTATATTATAGTAATTATAGATTAATAGAAACTACAGATCGAGGAGGATTAGGATTTAAATATAGAAATAGAATAGGAATAACTTTAGGATAGATTTAGTAGCTTAGTGAGGGTACTAGCATTTTAGAGGGGGGTATACTATGAGCCTAGCCTATAGCTACCCCTATTACATAAGTATATATGTACATAGCTGCATTAACCCCATCAGGTCCCATACTAACAATCCATCCTTCTATAACCACACCTTACAGTACCATACCTCACACTAACAGGCTGCCTCCACTGAGGGGCAGAGCTTGACCGCCTGGAAACACTTCACTGTTGGGTAGGTTTCGCTGAGGGAACCCGTCTTGCACTGGACGACCTATCAGAAAACGTATCATGAAGTGTTCGGCTCCGATGGAAAGGCCCGACCCGGGTCTCTTCAGAAACCGTTTCATCCAATCTTCTTCCAGCTGTACATCCCCTGGTGCTTCCCGCCCACTTCTGTCTCTGTCGTTTCTATCGCCGTCTCCTGACCTTCTGATCAGCCGCCATGTTTGTTTTGGCAAGGGGCTCCGTGTGTGAATGGCTTCGATTAAAGAGCACCGAAGGTGGGTGTAGTAAGGTACTGATGCTTACATAAGGGGCAAGAGGCTTTCACGTGCTACGGGTTTCATTTCAGCGACCCACAATGTTTCTGAGCACCGCGAAGAGCAGGGGAAAGCGTCTGGGCACCTTCAGTCTCACATGGTCGCTGCATCGGTTGGCTTCGTCTTTCTCCTACACCGCTGAGCGCTGAACTAGGTACTTGTCGCGGTTACTTGAGTCCTTACGCGATATAACGACGCGCGCAACATACCAACCCGGAGTGGATGATTGAAATTCCAAGATTGCCTGCGACGCGTGTAATCTTCTTTGAATCGCGTTTTCCTGCAAACCTCACGAACACGGCGACCTGCAGAGAAAGGGACTTGATCAACTTACCTCATCCTTCCAGATAACGGCTGGCATATCAAGTTGAAGCTTCTTCCTAATTGGGACACCGCATCCACCAGCTACGTCAATCCCGATCACCGGTTCCTGGGCTATGCCGACTATGTCAAGCTCCAAGCTCGTGTCGCCTGACAAGGTGACGAACAAGGAGTTCGCAGAGCTCCTCGCTAGCTATGAACCTCTGATCGATTCCATTTCAGCCTCGAAAGGCGGTACGTCGGCCCTTGATCGCGGCCTTCCCCGCACTCATAACAGTCTTTCCCACGGTATCCCTAACTGCCGCATATAGCCAAGTCTGGTCAGAAGACCCTGCAAGAGCTGGATCAGTTCCGTTTCGTTGAGGCTCCGGCCCTCTTTTCGCAGGAAGCCCCTAAACGATCCATGAACCACGATGATGTCAAGGTCCTCGTTGACTGGAAGCTGTAAGTGCATGCTTCGTTAATTACACCTAACATCCTATAGCGAGGCTACAAGTGTAACGATGTCAACACGAGGTGACGAGATGGTTGTATTACGTTCGTCGTGGAATAAATGTCCGTCTGACACACCCAAATAGTCGCCACGGCAAGTTTCGCCCGACTCTGATGAAGCTCGTCTCGTCAAATGACTCTTCCACGGCAGAGAAGACCGTGAAAGAGGGAGTGGAGGCCTATCAAGGCGTGTCAGACTTATCGGCATCACTCAACATTTTGACCAGACTCAAAGGAATCGGTCCTGCGACTGCTTCGCTTCTTCTGGCGGTGCACTATCCGGAGCAGGTCCTCTTCTTCTCGGATGAGGCGTACTACTGGTTATGCAACAAGGGCCAGAAAGCGTCGCTCAAGTACAACATGAAGGAGTATGAGTCCCTCAATGCCGAGTCACGGAAGCTGATGAAAAGGCTGGACGTCTCAGCAATGGATATTGAGAAGGTGGCATATGTTTTACTCAAACAAGAGGGAACCGCCTCTGTGGCAAAGACTTCCTCGAGCCCCAAGGCCACGAAGGATGAGCTAAAGGGTACATCGAAGGCAGCGTCTTCGAAGAGAAAGAAGAGCACCGACGAGATGGTAGAAGACAAGGGTCCAGTCAGACGATCGAAACGCGGGAAGGCGACATGAAAAGCTTCTCAGAACTGGCGATCACTGGCGGGATATGTGTCCCGTGTTTGCATCACGGCACATAGTAGCCACAGTCGGGGCGGCTACACCTAATACGGAACCGTGGAGCCCGTGGATCTACCGGGTCAGCTCCGCGGTGCATGCATTACCAGCTGGAAGGTATCACGGGTACATCTTGCGTCCCGAGGCCACGAATACACGGATCTTGGGCGGAGATTCCGCATTGCATGTTGGATCTCATTCGTCTTTTCCGACCGATAATTTTCCCATTGGGTTTATAAAAAGAGCAGGGTCGAACGACGATTGAAGCGGCTCAGCGGCCCGGCCACAGCGCAGTCAGCAAAGCACAATTTCCAGCTTAGGCGCCCGATTTTTTTCCGGCACGCGTGATCTACAAGACCCCGGATCCCAGACGGCGGGCGCCGAGACCACTGCCACTTCAGTGCATATCCAATCCGTTCACACGACCACCAGTACACCGACGATACGGAGGTCTTCCGCCACGTCGTGTGCAACTCGTTTCTCGTCCCACACGATGGACGATGAATTATTCGAAGGGCAGGCCCAATTTGGGGCCGCTGGCGACATGCCGCCTCCACAACCACCAGATTTCTCATCAATGCCCTATTCCTCCATCTTTTCTCAGTACATTTCGCCGTATGATACACCTAGCTTACTCTGGTCGCAATCATTTCCCCCAGCAATGGACAACCGCCCGAGAGGCTTCATGCGAGCAGATGAAATATTCTCAGAGAACGGTGGGCCAATTCCACTCCCGCCGAGGTTCGCCCAGATCAAGCGGAGCCTCATCGCGGGCAAGGAGACGGCGATAGTGGATTCTTGGAATCGGCTGCTGGTTGCCCTCCGGGCCGAGATTGCGTTGATAGGAGTAACAAAGTCTGACATCATCCCCACCATAGACTTTTCGGAGCTCAAGGACCATGCCCGCGTCTCCGAATTTGCCGCAAAGCTCCGACGCCGAGGTGGCGCCGTGATTCGCAACGTGATTCCGCCGGACCAAGCTCGAAATTGGCGGGAGGAGACGGAGACATACCTCGCCGATAACCCGGAGACCAGAGGGTGGCCGACGCGTGATCCCCATCTATTTGGAATTTACTGGTCGCCTGCTCAGATCAAGGGTCGAGCTCATCCAAATGTCCTTGTAGCCCAGCGGTTTTTGATGGGCCTTTGGCGCTCGAGGAACCCCAACGCCTCGGTGGCAGTGGATTTGCCCGTGGCCTACGCAGACCGTTTGCGAATTCGTGCACCAGGCGACGAGTTCTGGCATTTGAACGCCCACGTTGACGGCGGCAGTGTTGAACGATGGGAGAGTGACGGGTATGGAAACGCCGGCACATACCAACGCATATGGGATGGAAAGTGGGAGGACTACGACCCCTGGGAAAGCAGCACGCGGCTCAAGGTCACATCGGATCTCTACAATGGCGCAGGTTCATGCAGCATGTTCCGCATGTTCCAGGGTTGGCTTTCCATGTCAGATATCAATCCCACCGACGGCACCCTACTGCTATGCCCGATGCTTCAGCTCGCAACTGCCTACTTCCTTCTACGACCATTCTTTTCTCCGCTGAGCCCGTCCCCTGAGGCTGCGAACTTTCTCGCCCGCGAGAATTGGTCCCTCGACTTTATGCAGACAAGCATCATCCAGGGTGCCGTGCCGTCGTATACGCAAGAGCTGAACGCCTCTCTCCATCCTCACCTGCAGTTGGACAAGTCTCTCGTTCGCATACCCCCTGTTCGGCCTGGAGACTACGTCGTATGGCACCCGGATATGGTTTATGGCGTCGACAAGGTGCCGCCATCGGCTCTGCCCGCAACAATCATGTATATTCCTGCCTGCCCACTTACACAGACGAACGCTTTGTACCTCGCTCGCCAGAGAAAGGCGTTCCTCCTCGGCCAACCTAGTCCGGATTTTGGTGGCGGACGCGGAGAAACTTCTCACCTGGGTCGACCTGGTGTTCAGGAGGTCAGCGATGCGGGCGGCGAAGATGGCCTTAGGGCTATGGGCTTGCTGCCTTGGGAAGATCGAGAGGGGAGGAGCCCAACAGTGAAAACTCTGGTCGGGATGGCGAACGCTATTTTGTTCCCGGATCAGTATGACATGGTTTGATGGGAGTCATGATGACCCTTTTGAGGTTTACCGGCGTTGGAGAAGAGAAAGAAAAACAAGCTGATACCTCCGTGTTCTTCGGTATTCATCGCGGCTTTCCGGACAATGGTTGGGCAAGTTCAAAAAGCAAACGGCGAAGGCAAGATTGAAAAGGCTTTTTTTGCCACTAATTGAGTAATAATTGTGGCCTCAAATGAGCCTGTCGAGCAAACGAGGCTCTGTTACCAGAGTGCTTACCCTCCTCTTCGGTGAGATCCTCCTTAATGATCCTAAACGATGCTGTTACACAGGGCAGTGCAGCAGCAACCCCACCTGCGCACCTGGCAGCTGCGGTCTGGATTATCCCCAAATGCTCTGCAGAAAACATGCGGGTGACCACTGCCCTCCCCAAATTACTTGGGCGTAGCCGCCGAGGATCAATGGGCATGCAGCCTTGCCCTTTACGTCCGAAGAAGGCTCTATGGTACGCACAAGCTTATATATGAAGCCAGCCTCTCTCTGAGAGTAGCGCAATGCCTTCTTGCAGCCTTACTCTGCACAAACCCCGGCCATGCCATCTTCTTCGGCTCGTTTCTACTTGACCCTTGCATTCCAAATCGTCTGGAGGCTTGTCGTGAGGGTATTTGACGGCTTACGGGGGCGCTGTCGACCGATCCTACGAGCTGTTGGTCTCGGCATCGTCGCATTCATTGGCAAAGACAAGCCGGAGCCTCCAAAGGTTCTCATAAGCCAGTCCAGGGCTGTTGCTGTATCGCGCTGCGCTATACATACACTACCGACGGCCGTCTCCCTTTTCCTAAATTTCCTTCAATCTACAAGGGTACTTCATCGGTTCAGAGCTGCAGGGAAAGAAGGATCAGGATGATGTCAAATCTGGCGTTTTACAGCTTGCTGCCAAGATTCAGGTACCTGCCTTCGCCTCAAGAGACTCAGTCCAGAGTTTTGACCTCACGGATCCGCAGGAACTTCTCATCGTATCAAGTCTTGGGACTATCATCTTCCACGTGCTACGTGAGGATTTGGTTTTTGGCGATGGTTTGCCACTTGGGCTCGTTGTTTCGGGTTGGTAATTCACACAGCTAAGGTGGGTAGGATGACGTCCAAGGCCGATGGCTTGACGCCGCTCTGATCATTCTTGTCTAGTTATTTCTGGTCAGCCGGTTTCTGAGGAGCGATATTTTGCCCCATCTCTGAACCGCGAAGCGACATCAAGCGTCTTGCTCTACTGACACTCATTTGGATCTCCGGCCTGAAAGCTATCATGGCGGATCCGGCGGCTGCGGTACTTATGCTACCCGCTCAACGGGACTTCGATGTAGGCGGTGGGATTTACTGGGCCAACGGCGGCGACGCAGAACTCTGGCCGAAAGTTCGCGACGCAGAGTACCACTCTAGTTGGTCTTTGCGAAACCAGCTCGAACAGCACCAATGCTCGGCTGCTGGATTCTCGACTCTTCACAGCCATTATCTCGCCAATGCCACTCGCCCCAGGACACATGTCGACTATCAAATAACGACCGGGCTTGTCAGCAAAAGTATATATACGTCCAACCATCCGCCGCTTACATGTCCAACACGTGGGCGTTTACGGCTTACGGCCCATTAGCCGGTGTTCACGATCTCGTGCAATTTCTGCACCTGAGGTCTCTTGACTACCTAGATCGCCGCCAGGCACATAGTCCTCTCGGTCTCACGAATCTGAAATTCTCTTCGAAGCAGAGATACACTCTCGAGACCCAGGTACCCGCAGCTAGGGCTGTGTGTGTATCGAATGGTGTGGTCGATTAGGGAGTCCCTGGCAACCTCACTTTTTCGTTCTTAGATCTACCAGTCTCCGATCGCGCCAGAAGGCCTGAGAATGAGAGCGGTCTATGGAAACATCCAGGCATGGACGATGGATACCATTATCTCGACGTCTTCCAAGACATACGGGAATATCTATCCAAGAGGGGCATGATGGAAGCCAACGCTAACATGGTAAACGAAACCAGCATCTTTGATCTACACAGACGCATCGCTGCTGTTCCCATTGATATATGGAATGGTGAAGCAGCGAGCTCTCTCGGACTGGTCGTATTTGTAAAAGCAGAGGGCGTGAGCTTTTTAGCTAGGCCCACCAACCTTTTTACCTGCTCCATTGACGCACGCTGGGTAAAGGCCAAAACATTTATCGAGATGTCGCCGTCGAGTGGCGTGATCGAGCACGACTTCAATAACGGGAGAGCCTACAGCAACATTGAAATTGAGCTGGGTACAAGATTGAAAAGGCCTCTGTGGCGTGTACCATTAAAAGCCCCTTCGGGCACCTCAACCCGGGAAGGCATCATTCGCCTGAAGCCTAGCTGGTACGAGTTGCTCCATCCACCAGTCTACGATACCCCCAACGGACTCGGTGGAAGCCCTATCGAGATGCGGCAGTATTCCTGACAGCGATTCGAGCAGGTTTCTGGAACCTTTGCAAAGGTGGCGCATCGGAGATACTCTCAGCCCACCGGATGAAATTGCTGCGAGAGCTCTAGTAAGGAGAGGCAAGCCTGCAGAGAATTTTCTTCTTCCCAAATCTGTGGCAGATTCGAACGAGTTCGGCTCAGCACGAATGATTGTAGAGGCTCACTACGAAGGGTATGCCGTTATGACGTCTGGCTGGTTTGGGTACTTTTGCATTGTCATTCTCATGGCCCATGCGATTATGGCGATAAATCATTTACTCGTGTGTCTTGCTCAAGACGGACGGGACAAGCCTGGAGTGGCATTCTCGAATTCATCGCCTTGTCGTACAAATCGAAATCCCCGCCTGAGCATATTTTCAGCAACACTTGCGCTGGTGTCACATCTTTCACGACAGTCAGGTCAATGGCATGGGTGGAAGAGACACAAGAGACCGTAGGTCAAGAAGATTAGCGGCGGGTGTCTTTCTCTGAGAATCACAGACAGTCATGAGGGGAGGCCTGATGCACTCAGACCGACCAAAGGGAAGAGGTATAACGAGTGACAGGTCAATGCCTGCATACACTTGAAGGAGGGACTTCGGACGATGGCAAAAGCTTGCCAACATGAAGCTTGACGCACTCAGGGACAATGGATTCAAAAAGCAAAAGAAAATGTTCCGAAACCGAGAATCGAACTCGGGGCTATGCCTAACCTCTCAAACTTATGAGAGGGCATCATGTTGGCCACTACACCATATCGGAGGGGGATGGAAAATCTCAGGCACAAAAACAACTAAGAGCCTGATCTCATCGGCCCCACTCCGCGCTAGCGGTGAGTTTGTGTAACCCTTCCAAGGAAACCCCAAGCGTCGACAACCTCCGCCCGTCGTACGTGGACCGGATTTTCGGTGCAAACGAGTCATGGACGAGTTCACATCCCATGTCAGACCTTCATTCCACAAATGCCGCTGCCTGCCGGGGCGTTATCCGTACCATTCTCGCAAACGCATCCGAGCCGACGGTTCTCACACCAACATCCGGATATTTCGAGAGGTGGGATTTGCCCACCACCCTCCGGCAAATGGACACCCGCCGCCTCCGGGGGCTCTTGGGGAGAGACCAGAAGCAGAAATCGGTGCCGGTGGGTTGTATACTGGTGGGGACGAGTGACGTAGATCGATCATTCTGCAGTTCATCGCAGAATGGTGGTGATGTTCTCCCAGGATTCAGCTCAAGCGAGGGCGAATGTAGATGGTACTTCGGGCTTTGGGAGGGTGTTGTATACGATACATTCGTTTCTCATCTTGGCAAAGGGGATGTTCGTTTCTTGGCTAGGCCTCGCTTCGTTCCTTGTCTGAACTGTTGTTAATCTCGTCTCCCCATCGATAGTCAGCGGGACGCTCCGAGTCTGGATGATAACGCTGGAGACTTTGCATCGTGCATACATCAGCTGTTCATGCTCTCATGTGCGTGTCGTGGCTTGAGTCGTGAAAGTTGCACGGCACCGTTAGCCGCCCCATCGTGCGTTCGTCAGACTCGTCAGAGTTGGCAAGATTATGACGCAAGTCAGATATCATATCGGAGCCCGCGTGGGCTGCACGGAGGCTGATCAACGTTGTATGGGGAATGCCTTCCGGTGCGCTTTATTGTTCCTGTGCCCCATCCAATACACGTTGTGTCTAGAACCCGCCCCGGGCCTTGGCAGGAAGCTGGGACTGAATCATGTTCCGTGCTTCGGCGGCATCTTCAGTCCCCCGACTGCGGACTGCTTTCCCACCTCCAACCTCCGGGGCTCCGCTCCAAGACTTCTCTCCAAGACCTCCTAAAAAGCTCCGGACGTGGGACCAGGTTGCGTGTGTCTCCAGGACCCTGGTTGGAGCACGTACGATTGCTATTTCCAGGGGTCCCGAATCCGAGGGGTCTGATTTGGGGACATGATCCGGATCTAACCTCGAATCTTCACCGTTTGGGTAGCGTTTGCAGTCTGCATCTCGCATATAACGGTGCCACGATGTCGTGATAGAGCGAGCACCTGCGGCACCGCCCAGCAACCAACCCTCGCTGAGTCGAGACTCCCCAACTTCCTTGGCCAGCACCCAGACTAGCGCGGAGAGCCTTTACGTCATCCAATGTCGGTAGGGCAGAATGAGTTGCTCAGCTTATCATAGTTTCTGTGCTGCAAATGTGATGAAACTCCGACGGGCGGCACGGGTTGCCCTCTTGTTCCGATGGGGAAAGGCTTTGAAGGTTAAGTTGGTGTAACGTCAAACCTGAGATGACGTTCATGAGCTGTCTGGTGGAGGAGTTACTTTCGGAGATGAGGCGAGGTTACACAAGCCAGATAGCCGATGGGCGTCGATTGAAGGGCGGGCGGCGCGTTGGAAGTGTATCTCCGGTTGAACTACCCCGGATTGATGATGTGGGGTTCGACCAATGCCGGTATCGTCAGAGTGGGGGGCAGAAGTTCTACTTGTGAGGGAGGTTGGCGCTTTTATGATGATTCATCTCATCTGATTTTCGGGGCGATTCTCATTTGTTGGTTTAAGAAATAACCAGATTTATTCGTTTCGCGGTGTGAATGAGTCTAAGGGTTGCTGGAAATCTGGAAATCCAGCGTGGGATTACTGATGAACTGTCTTAGGCCAGGCTGTATGTACTGAGATGGTTATAAGTCCTGTTGGAAGTAAAGAAATAACCTACCGAAGGCTTTTGTTACTTGAGCGTGCGTCCCGGCCGAGTCGCAAATAGTGCCGTGTGATGGGCGTACGGCCCATGAGTATACCCAGAGAGCCAGTGAATTTCGTTGTGAGAGTTGCAAGAGCAGTGGGTCGCGCCGGTGAGAAATTCAGAGAGGCACACAGATCCTATCAATACTGCATGCCCCCACTCATTTACACGAAGATTTTGCTCTCTCATCCTAAGTATCTTGATTACTACTGATCCAACCAGATCATCATCGTCGTCGGACGAGCCTACTCCTCAACGTAGATTTACCTACACATCGTTGCCCAAAATCAGGCCATAAGTTTCGACCAAGACGCTCCGCATTCAGGAGCAATGCCTAGTCCTTCTCAGTGCCGGTCTCAAGCAGTTGCTTGAGACGCACATACTTGTGGCAAGAACTTTTATTGATGTTGTTCTTGTCGATGCTCCTGTTTAGTTTGTCGACCTTTGACGCCCAGTCTTTCGTTTCAACACGCTGGAGCCACTCCTTGGGATGTTCACACTTTTCAAGCTCTTCCCGGACGATGCCCAAAAAAACGTCCTCGATATCGAGATGAACATTATCGTTATCCTCATTGTCCCCCAAAACGCTGTAGTCCCATTCTTTCCAGATAAGCCAATCGGCGAAATCCATCAACAGGTCAAAGACCAAAGATGGCGCATTTGTCCTGGACCCAGAGCGCCAAAGATCGAGAGCATGCCTCACATAGGGATCGACTGCCTTTCCTATATCTTCAATATCGAATGTGCGGTTCTGGGGATCGTATGCATCTTCTTTGGCTTTGGCTACAGCCCTGGACGCTTTCTTGCGAATCTCGTCTGCTTGCCGTTTGGTTCGCTCGCTCTCCGCCTTCAAAGCCTTGCTGGCGTAGGCCTGGAGATGGGCTTCAACAGCCTGGCCGCAGAGGGGATCAGAGAGCATTTCCTGGAAACATGACTTGAGGTCGGATAGCGCGATGCGTGACAGGATACCCTCCGTCGAATGCGGGTCCGGGTGATGACGTTTTGGGGATGTCTCTGTAAAGTCGAAAGTGTCGATAGGTCTCTTCATTGGTATCATTGGTCTCTTGGAGACGCCTATAGGTCTTCTGGTGCCGGCCATTGTGAGTGAGGAGGATATTGAAGGAATATAGATGATTTTGGTGATATACTGTAGCCAAAATTCCGTGTAAAAGTGTCTCGAAGGCAACTTCGACAATTATTTGGAGAATGCCACGACTCAGACGCGCCGAGACGCGACGTGGTACTTCACTCGAGACGTGGGGTAATATTGGACCCTCTGCAATCAATTTGAAGATTGCTTTTCTTGTTTAAGGCCAGTCCCCATGCCAACTAGCCAACTGCATGCAAAGGCAGGTTGACAGCGTACCGAACTCCTGTGGCTACATGACATTGAGCACCACGTACGAGCAGCCCCCGAACAACTTCCATCTGAAGTTTGAAAAACCAAGACTTGATGTGCCAAAGTGCACATTGTCGACAAAGCACGCGACCAATCAGAGTGACCCCGGCAGGCCGGTGACAGCGGCGCGGAACAGAAGGGTCGGGGAACACAACAGGCCAATGCAGGGGCCGTGGTGGTCTGAGCTTGGGTTTGGCGAGGGGGTTACCTGACCTGGAGATTTGATACGTGGATAGAATTAGGGACCAAGACAGCTAAAATGCCCCCCATGGAGGCTGCCCAGGTGAGTGCCCGTCCTGAGCTGACATGGGACCGCACTAACAAGGGCCCGTCACCGAGGCCAGCCCCCGCCAGTCCAGCCAGCCCGGTGCCTTCCATGCCTTCCGTCTTTGCCTTCCTTGCCCGGGCTGGCCTTACCCGACCCTGCCAACCTGCCTTACCATGACCTAGCACCTGGCAACTTCGTCGGGCTGCGCTGCCACTAAGCACCACCTCATTCAGCACCAACGATCACACTCAGCGCCCAGTCGCCCACCCCCGTCAGACACCTCCTTGCAAATCTCCAGCTGTGGAAGTGGGCAATGAATGGACCCGCGACCTAATCAACCTCCCTTAGACGAACCAGACCTGAAGCTGAAGGCGGGAACACTGGGAAGCGAGCAGCAGCAGCAGCAGCAGCAGCAGCAGCAGCAGCCAAAGGTGGGCTCTTTGCGGCTGGGCACCAGTCCTCCAGCATTCTGCAGCCAAAAATCACAGCCAGAAGCACTCGACCCCCGAGTCATCTTAACTGCAACAACGACAGGTAAACAATTCCTTCACGACTCACGTGCGTCCACCTCTCGACTCTCCATCACCGATCCCGACCAATTGTC